CCGCAAACTGCAATCAGATGAGCGTCAGATGACTGTTAACAATCGGACACTCATCAGATTGACGCCAGACGTCGGCTAGAAACGCCCGATAGTTGCACGACACTCATCGGACTGACTCGACATTCATCCGACACTGACTCGATTTGCGACCGGAAATGGCGTCCGATGGCGAACTAAGCTCTGAGCTTAGTTCCTTCATCGGACGAGTTCGCCTCATCGGATCACGCCCGACACGTCGGCCACTGACCTGATAGTCGACAAACACAAATCGGATTCATCGGAGTGTGATACGGTACTCTTCGGTGGGTTATCGGAAGTAAAAAACTTTGCATCCGATGAGTGACCGATGAGCCACAATTCTCTGTGGAATGGGGGTATAAAGCGTTCGCTCGTCGCGCCGAAGATCCGGGTTCGAATCCCGACATGGGTACAATGTCACTGTGAAGCCCATTTTTGGTGCCCCCCGCCGTGATATTGCTGTAATATTGCTAAAAACGTCGTAAAACCAGACTCACTTACTCATTTATGCAAGATACCTCGTAAAACCTCAGATGCCAGGGAGGTTAAGGACGCGACACGTGCTCCTATGAAATAAAACAATTAGTCATTCGGCCCTTTGTTAAGCGGAAAGGCATGTTTGTAATACCAATGTGTATTGTGCTGATGTCATGAAGCAAAGGGGTCGTCCAGTGTTTAGAAACGTGTTAGGAAGGGAAAATATAATCGGTTCGATGTTGCTTTGGAGTGCCCAACCAAGTTGACCCAGGCCAATTTGCCTGAATAGAGGAGGTGAACTCAAGCTCCAGCACAAGCCCGGGACTGAGTGAATAATTGGTAAACCAATTAACTAGGTTGAAGTATGTGAAATCATGCGCGTGCGTGCGTGCGTGCGTGCGTGTGTGTTTTAAAATGGGCCATGTTTAAACGTTTTTTGGTATGATACGGCTGGGACTCAAACCACCAACCTTCCGGTCAATCAACTGGGCCACACAGGCGGTCGTGTTTCAACGTATTTCAACTCCTCATGAGCGTCTGTCATAGAAATCTGACGTTTGCTCGTTTGTTGTTTAACGGTTTGTAAAATAACCGTGTCTGGACAAGACAATCCAGTGATTGACATCATGAGCATCTATCTACGCAGCTGGAATACGATGACATGCATCAACCAAGCAAGCGAGTCTGGCGACCCGATCCCTTTAGTCGCCTCTTACGAGAAGCATAGTCGCCTATTACGGCAAGCATTGGTTTCTGAAGAACTCCACTGATATTGTGCGGAAACTGTGTGATTTGCTACAACCTGTCCTTGCCAAAACTTTGTAACATTTTATAATAAAGAACCCACTATGATGCTATTTTATGAACGCTTCAATTACCGCCTTTCTTGAGCTACGCTGTCATTGTATTAAACCGTGATTTCGGGAGCAAACTGTCACGACGGAGCATGGGTTGCTGCATGTATTGGCTTGAAATGTATGTATAATTTTATAAGGTTATTTACAGTGGACATGGTTGCATTCGTCCTCGAACATTAGTAAAGTTGGCCTCGTCACATCTCTTTCCTTTTACGTGGTATTGGACAGAACAGACGCCCCCCTGGCGATATTTAGTAGGACCGTACTCAGAAACACTGGTTGTGACCATACATCATGTAGCTGCTATTGTCTTGCGTCACAAGCCCCAGTGGGCGATATCAACAACATAGCTAGTTGAAAAACTCACTGACACGCAAAAGAAAGCCATAAAAAATGCGTCCCTTTTGCACACCAGAAACCAATGATTGTGGGTTCGATTCCCGGTTCGCCCCGATTATGTTTCTAGGTTTGACAGCACCATACCCGTGCTCGTGGGTTTCACCGAAGTGGTAAACGTCTAAGACCTGCATCACTTCGGGCTTTCCTCCCACATTCAGCTGACACGCCGTGATATAACTGGAATACTGTTAAAAGCGGCGTTAAACCCTACCCACTCACTCACTCCTACATAATGGGATCCTACATTATAATTTGTTGCAGCCTCACGAAGGGTATATAGTCTGGAAGTTAATTTAAGGTAACGACGTTTACTACAATATGTGAAAAACTATTGGACCTACTCCAGTCAAAGTTGGTATGAGATTATTAAACAGTCATACATAACTGGATATTACATTTAAAGACAATCGGTGCTTGAAAAATAAATGTGTCTCTTTAGCTGTCACTTAACTCATCAACAACCAGACCTGTCGTCACGGGTGGAACGAGCATTCACTGTAACAGCCATCTGCATAATGCTACCCCTGCGTCACAGGGCCATATGACACAGTTGAACCAATCAACACAACTCGAAAGGTCGAGAAAGGTGAGGACGGGCGTGGTCATGTTGATAGGTAATGCCTGGGCCATGACGACGCAAAAACTGTAGAACAACAGGGTCGATGATCTCGTCGCGGTAGCGCTGTCCATTGAGAATTCCCTCTACCACTATCAAACGGGTCTTCTGTCTTGCTGTAATCCCACCCACCCCATACCATAACGCTGCCGCCCCCGAACCGATCTTCTTCCATGACACAGTGATTGACGTAACGCTCACCTCGACGTCGGTACACTCGAATCCGTCCATCGCTGTGGCTGAGGTCATAACGAGAGTCGTCAGTGAATAGAACTTGTCCCCACTGCATGGCCGTCAAGCGTAGACGCTGTCTGCACCACTGTAGACGTGCTGGACGGTGGTTTCCTGTCAAAATGGGACGTCTGGCGGGACTTCTGGCGACAATCCCTGCACATCTGAGGCGACGACGTACGCTTTGTGAAGATATTCGTCGAAGGCCAGGGATGCTTCTTGCAGTCACTGTTGCTGGCTGGAATCGATTTCGTAGGTGTGTTGTTCGAATCCAGTTGTCTTGTCGATTATTGGTTACGCGTGGCCTGCTACTCCGAGGATGGTCTCTGACTGCATTCGTCTGTTGCCAACGTTGCCATAAACACCAAATAGTGTTTCTGTGGACGTTAAATTGTCTTGCAACATCACATTGACTCGATCCTGCTTCAAGCATACCAATGGCTTGCAGACGCTCATTTTCGGACAGGCGTGGCATTTCGTATTGTTGAATAATTTCGTATTGTTTTTGTTTTTCTGAGTGGGTGTTGTCAGCACGATGTTAAACAATGTATATGGAATCCCGTTAAGGCACATGTTTTTATGCCCATCCTTTGGTAGTGAAATGCTTGGGGCTTGCATAAAAGTCAACTTTTGCATGGAATGCATGCTTTTCTGTAGCAGTTGCGTTTTTGTGACTTGATTCCATACATGTACTACAATATTGAAAACCAAACTTTACTTGTTTGAAAAATACACTAAATTATTGGTGTCACAGGAACTATTGTTGTTGAGTATATTATATTGCTCTGGGATATAAAAATTCAATGTATACCAGCTAGCAGTGACACACGGAGACAATCCACTTCCATGGCTTGATTTTTAACCTTGTTTTTATACCATATATATGGGGGGGGGGGGGGGGGGGGGCGTGCATATGTATTATGAATATCAAAATTAGCGTAGTGGATATATATTGTAAACCTATCTAATTGGTATAAATATATATAGTGATTATTTGGTTTCTAAGATACACACACCTCTGTGTCATATCAGCTCTTAAATTTGAACGAGCTTTGAATATTAAACGTATTTGTTGTGTACGCCGCACTCAGCAATATTCCAGCTATATGACGGCGGTATGTAAATAATCAAGTCTTTTTAATTTGATGTTTAACGCCTTACTCAGTGTATGTAGCATAATCCATAACACTCACGCTTACTTGTTTAAATGTGTGTGTGTGTGTGTGTGTGTGTGTGTGTGTGTGTGTGAGAGAGAGAGAGAGAGAGAGAGAGAGAGAGAGAGAGAGAGACACGGCGGTCTGTAAATAATCGAGTCTTCTTTGTTGAGTCAAAGGGTTACACGGCACAATGATGTCTACAATCTAATAAATTGGCAGTGTATCAAGCATAATCATTAACACTCTCACGCTTACGCGTATGTATATATGTATGTTTTTGTGTATATGTTTGTGTGCGTGCGTGCGTTATACTTTATAAATAATACTTCTGCCATTCATTTCCTATATGCCTCAGTAGAATGTAGGCAGGGGAGGTGTTGCGTGTCAGTTGACAAGAGATTCAGATATCCGGAAACTCGTTTATCCGGACAATATTTGCGAAAACGCATGTGTCCACATGAGAGAGTTTCAACTGTACATGTATTTCGACGTCTTTTCTTAACGGGTTCTACAATACCTCCAGATTTACTACTGACTTAAGTAACTCCGGTCATATAACTTATCAAGTTTACTTTCAAAGCGTAACACATCATATGAACTAATAGTACGAGGGCGACAGAACCTATTCTTCTTGGCTGTGGGTTTTGAGCGTGAGAATTGAGTTTTCTGAGTGTTTAATGCTTCTTGAGGCTGCTCCACAGAGTAGTAATCAGTTCTCTTTCAAGGTCCACTGGAATTGATGACAAGTTTGTCTTTCCTCATAACAAGATTTTTGCTTCTTTCTTCCTGTGTTTTTCATGTAAGGGAGGAACATTCTCTTCTTTGCATAATCTGGCGTGGGAATTGTTCATCAGTGTTGTAGTGTGAGCTTTCTAGGTGATATCTTGACTTCGTCGTGCTAGCCGAGGAAGCTAAGTCTAGTTACAACAGACCTGGCCTTATTCCCGTAGTTCCTCCCCATTCTGTGTGCCACATCCAAATTTATCTTCTCTGGGACTTCCCTCTCCCCTCTGTTAATGTGCAACAAGTTACATTAAAATGATTAAAACTACTCTCCAGATACCCCAAGTTCGTATTAAGCTGTATGTCATTGTAAGCTACCCTTTGTGTTCATTGAGGTGACACACGCCAACATCTGAACGGCATTACACCTGCCTGACACCCAGAATAGCGTGGGTCATTGACTAATGCACCAAGTGGTAACCATTATCTTGCGAAATCACGCAGTTAGTCGCGTCTGCCTTCGCTCCCAGGGTCCTTTTCGTCTCTGTGTCTGCACGCGAAGGTTTTATCTGCACTTCTACTGTACTTCTCGATTCCAGTCCTATCAGGTAGCATGACCGACTGACACACCAATGTATGTACTTTGTATGTTCAATGTTTTTGTTACATTCTAGTGTATTTTAAACGTAGGTTTGTTGTCGGTCACGCCTTTCCATATGCGCTCAATCCAAATGCTAAAAGGTATTACTGTCATCATTTCAAAAGTTAAGTTTATGTTTTCAGCAGTTGTACGGTATTATGTTTGTATCGCGTGTACCATCGACAGAAAGAGGTTTACAATATGGCGTCAACTCACGTTTAGACGTCGTGGCCACACTTTAGAAATCAAAATGTGAAACGGTTAGGGTAATTCATTCACAAGGTCAGATAGTTTGATCAATCACACGGCTGAGTGACGCTTGCTCATTTTGATATAAAAAACAGCAGTTATTTGTTGGAACGGGCGAGCATGTAGGACAACTTGTCCTTGAACAGCTATGATGCGAACGTGCCCTGTCGATCACTTTGGTCTTTGCCATTCAATGTTTACGTGTTGATCATGAACCTTCTGCCTATAAATATACATTTTACCACTTTAATATTAACGACCATAGTTATCTTTCCATATCTTAGATTTGAATATTTTCTATCAATCTACAGCATAAACATCATGTTTCGTCCCCAGCGCCATGCTCGTCGCTATATGGCTGAAATTATGCTGATGCGACGTTAAATTTTAACTCACTCCAGCGCCATGCTATCTCGTCATGACACACAGTCGATAAAAACATGAAATACTTGAACAAAAAACTTCCTTTGCGGACGAATGGTCAGTAGTTTTACACCAATAACCGTATAGTGGGGAAAGTAAAGCTTTTTGACCAGTCTGATCAGGAATCTTTTTCAAATTTGATGTCTGATACTTACATAGTTACGTGTATGTGACCTAGGTGAATGATAAAAATTCGCCGTCATTCGTTTGAAGTTCAAACATGGCATAAAAACTTCACTATAAACTTTACTATTCTCACCATATTTCACAATCCATAGCACTGTATTAAGTATGAGTTAATCGACGTTAAAGATAAGATGATTGGGGTGATAATTTTGATTTTGCGCACTCAGTGTTTGACACCTTAATTCACAGTTGATAAGGGACATTTTCACTGGACCATATATGGTCCCGTGACACTGAGGGGGTTTTGTATGCTCATGTATTACGTTATACATTCAAATAAAAAAAATAGCTTGCCGTAAATTATGAAAACTGATATTTCTCTGTGACGTCAAAAGACGACAGAGAGGTTACACGATTTTGCTAGGTTTTATTTTCGTAATTCAATTACATATTCTGCTTTACCTTTTATGACAAATAATTCCATTAGTTTCATTTATCTATGACCATTCTCTATTTCAGTTTTCCTTTCGTAGGATGGGATGAAATGGGAAACTTTACTTGAAATAAACTATCACGTAGTGTACCAAGGTGTAAGTACAATTCTAAAGTCACATTTATGAAAACAAAATAATATGAAAGAAAATGTTTTTTGAAAAGTAATTTAATCCAGGTAAATCATATTTTTCGTAATTCTCTCTTTTACTTAATCTAGATATTACTTATAATTGTACTGTTAATACAATAATATTTCCTTCCTCACCTGCGAAGGTTAGCCTTTCGTTTTCTTGTATTAAATATAGCCTACTCCAGACTTCTTGAGCTTTTAAATTCAAGTAATAAAATTGTCCAATTATATCACGTTTCAAGCTTTTTATAAATTAGGTTTAAACCATTAACAACACATGTAACACACAAAGTATAAATAAGCGCAAAACAAATCGATGCTAGTATGATATCGAAAATAGGTTTGTTGAAGAGACGTGCTGCCAATGAAAGCGTATCAACTATTTTGATTGAATCTCTTGGGTGATAGTACGTTAGTATAGTCGCGTTAATTATTAAGAGGGGGCACGGGTGGCCCAGTCGTCTAAGGCGCCGCGATTCGCTGTGCAGAGTTGCGTCCCTTGGGCACGCCAGAAACCTATGATTGTGGGTTCGAATCCCGTGTTCGCCCCGATTATGTTTCTAGGTTTGTCAGCACCATACCCGTGCTCGTGGGTTTCACCGAAGTGGTAAACGTCTGAGACCTGCATCACTTCGGGCTTTCCTCCCACATTAAGCTGACACGCCGTGATATAACTGGAATACTGTTAAAAGCGGCGTTAAACCTAACTCACTCACTCACTAATTATTAAGAAATAATAATGATGTACCTAATTTTCGGAGGTAATTTTCAGTAATTTTCCTAAAATTACTGGATGATATCACAAGACTGGGAATTCCCCACAGAATTGACAACCGTTATGTGTATTTGCGTGCGTGATGTATGTTGAATTTTATCCGACTTCAAAGTGAGGGTTGAAGAGGAGGGACACATATGTCCCTCTTGCATCCAGGGTGTTAACGCCGCACTTTGAACATTATTCTAGTTTTATCACGGCGTGGCAGCTTTAATGTGGGATGGAAGCCCGAAATGATGCAGGTCTCAGACGTTTACCACTTCGGTGAAACCCACGAGCACGGGTATGGTGCTGACAAACCTAGAAACATAATCGGGGCGAACTGGGATTCGAACCCACAATCATAGGTTTCTGGCGTGCCCAAGGGACGCAACTCTGCACAGCGAATCGCGGCGCCTTAGACGACTGGGCCACCCGTGCCCCCTCTTAATAATTAACGCGACTATACTAACGTACTATCACCCAAGAGATTCAATCAAAATAGTTGATACGCTTTCATTGGCAGCACGTCTCTTCAACAAACCTATTTTCGATATCATACTAGCATCGATTTGTTGTGCGCTAACATACTTGGAGTGAACCGGGATTCGAGCCCACACTCCCAGGTTTCCGGAGCTCTGCAGCGGAGCCTCAGATGCCTGGACCACACGTGCCCCCGTTCTTCTTAGAAGTTCTCCAAGATATTAGTCTTGGATCATTCAGTCTCGGGTGTAGTCGATTTCAGATCGATGGTGAGATTCCCCTAGGGATATTTAACAGCTTCTGTGTACACTGTCACAACACGATCTTAATTGTTGGGGAAAATGCGCCCGGCAAATAATTTGACTTGTTGTCTATCGACTGGAAAATTGACTAAATATTAGCAACAAAATATCACATCATGAGCAATTTGAGAGGGTCTTAAACATGTTCCACGTGTTAATTGTAAGAATGCCTTTCATATATGTCTTATTAGGTATGGTTTGTCATAGTTCCATGATCGTTGGAAAATTTATAGAAGACCCAGCTACTAGTTTGAAGATTGGCCTTGATGAGTTGTCTTGCATTAGTCTTTAAGGATATCTGGGTTTGACGACAATGATCAAACTGTTCTACACTTACAAAGTGGTTTTCTTTGAGATAACTGTTCTAGATATATTGCACGGACATGCTTGTGTTTGGTCAGTGTTTGATAAGCGCTATAAGTATTTAAGAAAAATATGTACATGTTTGCTGACATTTTAATTTCCCCAAACTGCGTCCCCGTCTGCATAAGACCATCTTCCCGAGGCAAGAGAGTTAACTGACTATAAAAGTCCAGTTTCCACCCTTGCCGAACTAGGCTGGTATTATGGAGTTACATTTTGGCTGGACTAACGAGTCTATGCATAGTCCAATCAAAATCGCGCACCGAAATTGAAATCCGGTTCGTAAACTGTAAACTGTGTAGATTTCGGTCGATAGCAGGATTGGCAAAACATGTGCACCGCCAACTCGTTGTCAGCAGATATTTTCCAAATCTTTTCATGTTTTAAATCAAGGTGCTCACGTAATTTGATGCATTTCGCGATGTAAGACCCGTTTTATCACAATATAGATCTGGATTATCGATCAGATCGTCCTGACTTGGCGCCACCATTTTGTGTGAAGCAAACACAAGTGATACGAGAGGTGGAACCTGATTGGTCTATAGGAGAGGTTTAGAAGGGACATAAGTGGTAATAGCCACTGGTGGCGCTACGATCGAGCCCAGTAATTCCAGCCTAGTTCGGCAAGGGTGGAAACTGGACTTTTAAAGTCAGTTAACTCTCTTGCCTCGGGAAGATGGCATAAGACAAGACAGTCTGGGCTCAAGGGGGGACGCGGCACATTCAGGGGAAGGCAAGTGTTGTAGCCTTTTAAATTTCGCTGTATCTGATGAAATTGCGTTTTACATTCCTAGATGAAGTATGGAAGCTTTGTCGTTTGCATCGGCGTATTTCTACCGTCAATCAGGGGCGACATGAAGGTGGTAGACCTTACCTGGCCCCACAAGAAAGGTATGGCCCACTGGCCGGGTGAAGGAATTCCTGAATTCAACTTAAACATCATATCTCGTGGCTTCTTGTCTAAATTATGGTAAGGGCTTGATAATATTTTTGTCACCCATGAAAGTAGGATTAATAAATACCTTGCATCAATGTAATTTTTGTGTCAGGCAATTTCGGGAGAAGGGGGGGACGGGGAGTTGGGATTTTGTATCGAGATTATAGAATTTTTTCAGTTACAATTACTATGTATTGTTATCGATGAAATCCCATGCCCACCATAATATCAAATGATCGGTTCCTGAGGCTCGAAGTTGTGTTTGAGTCTTAGTTCTATTTCACCAAATATTTATCATCATAAATGTTTCAGGTAATTAAATAGAATCACTAAACTATTGATCACATGTCAATCTTTTTCTCACTTTTCTCCACCAGGTTTGAAATCAACTGGTTTGTTACTCCCGAACACGCAGGAACGCATTTCGATGCCCCTGCTCACTTTTTCAAAAATAAATGGAGGGCGCATGAGATTCCAGCCGAGCGTCTGATTGGTCCAGCGGTGGTTATCGACGTGACGTCACAAGCGGAAGTGGATCACGATTACAGAGTAACTAAGTCCGACTTCGACAGGTACGAACGCGAGCACGGTCGAATCCCACACGGTGCCATTGTAATCATGAACTCTGGATGGGGTTCCCGGTTCCATGACAAGCACCTTGTGTTCAACAGCGAGAAGCCCGACACGCCCTCCACTTACCATTTCCCAGGGTACCACGAGGATGCCATTTCCTGGTTGTTGACCAATAGAAACGTCAGTATCGTTGGGGTCGACACTCCCTCCGTTGACTACGGCCAGTCGACGACCTTCAAAGTTCATGTACTGTTTGGAGAGAACGGAATTATCGGGCTGGAAAATGTGGCCAACATTGAGAAGATTCCCGCCGCAGGGGCCACAATATTTGTTGGTGCGATGAAGTTGTTTGACGGAAGTGGCGGACCTGCCCGAATTATAGCGACCTTTGACCCGCTTGTTTCCCGTGAATACAGGACAACATGGATTGTTGTCATAGTTACCAGTATCTTGTTTGGTATCTACGGTATATACAGCACGTGTTTCAGGACACAGATAGCACGTGCGTCACATTCTGAATAACCTGTTATGAGCTAGTAAGTTGTTTTATTATGGGTTTAAGATTATAAAGATTTCCTGAAATAAATGCTGTCAGTCTCAGTGATCCCTCCTTTCATTATTACAGACCCACACCCAAATCTATCAAATCGTAAGGAAGACCCTAGACACGTCCACGCCAGTTCAGATAGTCCACAGTGAATATGGGCTCATCTTGATTCCCCTAGTTTCTTCACTATAAAGACCATTGGGTCCAACTGGAACTGGTTAACGGTTGTGCAACACGTGGTCGCCACGCATGCAGATCACCTACATAAATACGATTTCAAATCGTCAGTAACTTGAACTCCGGTGGCCTGGCGCCAGTAAACAGTGATTTTGTTGGCTGTTTGGCCTCGATTTCGTAAAGCCTAGTTTCTGTTTAACTGACTCTGGACTTGTACCCTTGATCATTAACAGTTTATCTAACCTGTATCAAAGTCACATATTGGCAGCCTCTCGCTTAGTTCAACCAGTTTGAAGTATGCCAAAAGCCCTTAGGCGTTCACCACTTTGAAGACAATTCCCAATCTGACCACAAATACTGCATTAAAGCAAAAGTGGAAACCGCACGTGTTTTAATCTGGAGACTGAAAATCAAAAGTCCTTATGGTTAAGAGCGATTTGACGACCTTTCAATTTAGTGTCATCATCACGAATGACCACCACCTCCGTGCATTGTTTCAACTTGTTGGGTTTTGGTTCCGACACCGTTCTATCCCTGGCCCAGTGACGTCTGACACCTGCATTACTTCGAATTCGGGCATTCCTACCACATTAGTTTTTTGTTTTGTTTGTTGTTTAACGCCGCACTCAGCAATATTCCAGCTATATGACGGCGGTCAGTAAATAATCGAGTCTGGACCAGACAATGCAGTGATTGACATCATGAGCATCGATCCGCGCAATTGGGATCCGAGCCTGACCACCCGATCCCGTTAGTCGCCTTTTACGACAAGCATAGTCGCCTTTTACGGCAAGCATGGGTTGCTGAGGACCTGTTCTACCCTATTAAGCTGACGTGATGTAACTGGAATATTGTTAGAGATGACGTTAAAACCCAACTCATTCACTATATTTCATGACCCCCTTCATATATGCGAGTATATATGCTCATTTATTACCCACGTGGTGAAGATACAGGTGGTAAGATACTAAATCCGTACGTCACACGTGTGTCGTACAAGGTTGACCTTGTTTTATTCGTTTTGATTGGATAACCGTGACCTCTGTCACACCGGGACTACTTTTTTCATTCATAAAAAATCGCGAGACGTCATTCATTTTGCAACTACAAGGCAGAACTGAAGCAATCTCACGTGAGCGAGGGATATTAACAAACACTTTATTAAACCAAACAAGATAGTCACACGCATCAAATTCTGTTTGCATCCTATATAAGTTATGCATTGAGCTTCCACATACATTATATAATCGAGCTATATCCATTTACAATGTTCGACTACCGTTCAATAGATCGAGGGTCCACATATGAGCGTGAAGCACCCGACTCCTTTCGCAACTTCCAATTTGATTTAACGTAAAAGGATAAGCGTGGTGAAATGAAGTCAGTTTAATCTATCTGGACAGATATCTAGACTTACTTGGGATGATCCGGTTGTGCCATCAGTGTCCTCTTCGAAGGGTAATTTGTGGCACTGTTTCGGGAGTTGTTTGTTCACGACTGCACAACCAGATCACTCAAAGTGAACATGTCCGATACAAATAATTCGAAAGCTCCGTAGAAGTGTGCCTGATTTCTGATTATGTGGCCCAAAATATCCCAAAGGTGAACAATAACATTCCCTATCTCTAGCGTAAAACGCTGAGTAGATCACGGTTGTCTTTTCTTATTCCGGCGGTGACCTTGCCCTTCGTTCATGCTGTCACTGAATGCAAGTAGACTTAGCGTGTTTATTTTCACGTCTTCAGTAAAGGGTGGTACAGTAAACATGAATGTCTTTGGCGAACACTCTGATTTCCCTCTTCCAAAATGGTACGGACATTATATAAATTCAAATGATAGATCAAGGAAACCGAACCATCTTGAATGCACAGACCCCTGCAGTGCGAATGACCGACTGTTGGTCCGATATTCAAAGCGCGGCGCTAATGTGACTTTTCATATTTTCTTATAGGTGTCCTGCGTACTAACAACATGGCGCTTGAATTCTCATAAGTTGAAGAAATTCTTCCAAAAGGATCTTGAGCGTCGGTGCTGTTATGTTTGCAAACACAACTGCAGGCGCATGTTGTTAATGCGTACGCATAGGAATGTAAACAATGACCATATTTGGGCATATATCAATATTCATGCGCAACCAGATTTTGCAACCGGTTTCAGTTTGGTCTGTCAACGAACAAAAGTTGTTATGTATTTACACTTACAAACATATTTAACGTGGGTAATAAATAAAATACCAAACTCATTCTCGTTAGATACCATTTTTACGTAACTCGTGAACTTTCTATGGTATCTGACCTCGCTTTCGCTCGGTCAGATACCATAGAATGTCCACTCGTTTCGTAAAAATGGTATCTAACAAGAATGAGTGTAGTATTCTCTATTTATTACTTGCCCGTGAGGAGATCACACGATTTATAAACATACAGCTGTATTACACATTGTGTAATACCAAAACGCGTGCTTACGAACAAATATTGAAAGCTCTCATCATCCCTTGGCTTATTCAACGACATTGCTTGTGGAGTTGATAGATCACTGAGAGGAGCTTATACACACTCGATGACCCCAGCAACCGTGTTGCTAGGCTGACGTCACATGGCATTGTTTCACCGATGGTTCTTGCAACAAAATTCCACAAATTACGTCATCGGGTATTGTGACGTTATTGTAAACTTTGAGGTGCAAGGCCCGTTCCACAAGGCGATCGCAACGACAGTCGTTAGTCTTATTTTGTGAATTCTAAAGGTGGACCGTTGTATGGTATTAAATTCATACGTTTCAACTTTTGACGTGTTTGAAGTATTATTCTGTTAAACTCAATTGGACTATGCCGTGGATCGTGTAAGTGTCAGCCTATTCATACTCAACAGTATAATTCTAAAAACGTTATTAAAGGCAAGTAATAAATAAAATACTAAACTCGCTCCCGTGTAAAACCAATTTTATGAAACTCGTGAAAAAATGTGGTGTCTGACTCGCTTTCTCTCGTCAGATACCACAACTATTCCCTCGTTTCATAAAATTGGTATTACACGGGAGCTCGTTTAGTTTTCTATATGTATGCAATAGCACGAGCTTGAAGCCTTGGACGTCACACCGCTTCATCTCGGGCGGGACTGATGTGATTCGGTTTCAAAGTGAAGTGTATGAGAGGCGTGTGTGGAATTGATGACCGCTTGCACTTGAGACCAGTGGCATTTGAACTTACAAATTGTCTCAGTACAGAGAGATAAGACTTTAGTATTGTTGGGTTTTATTTGATGTCTCGTCACGTGTTACCGATTAACCGTCTGACAAATGGCTACCGTCCCTGCTATCTCCTTCTTATTCATGCCTATAATATCTTCTTAACGTTCACATCTGTCATTGAATGCTCAAATGTCTTAGAAAATCGCAAAATTTTGACATATCACCCCATGGTCTTTCGCTTCCGACGTCTCACTTCAGAGTGAGAGGGATTTGGGCTCGGAAAAAGCACGATATTTTGAGCTTCTGAAGACGCTAGCTCCCAAAGTACGGCTTCGATTTTCTTCATCTATGTCTCATTGTGTATTGGCTTGAATCGAGTGTATAGTTTTAAAGGTGTATTTACAGTGGACATTGTTGCATTCGTCTTCGAACTTGGTGAGTTGGCCTCGTTACACCCCTTACCTTTTATATGTACCCTTCAAAAAAGGAAACGCAAAGCCAGATTTGTGTGAGGTAGGAAAATACATTTATACGAGGAACCGTACAAGGTATTGAGCCAAAATGTTGTGGAGAGAACACTTAGTGATTGTAGTCATTTCAATTATCGGTACATAGGAAAGGAAAATTTTAGGGTGAAGGTTAGCTGCCATCAATAACGCGTATGTCCCTCGATAGCGGCCTGATATCTCCTGCCCATGGAAGAGAAGAGTATGCGAATTTCCTTGTGGGGAATGGAAGCCCACTCGACCGGCAACGCAAAAGCCAACTGCTGCAACGTTTGGGGTTGTGGTTGACGTCGGCGTAGCCGTCTATCCAATTCATCCCACGGTTGCTCTATCGGGTTCAAATCCGGGGATCTGGAGGGCCAGGGGAGAACATCAACGTTGTTGTTGTGTAGACAGGCTCTTGTGATCCGTGCTGTATGCGGTCTGGCGTTGTCCTGCTGGAATACACCGTTGCCGTTGGCTGCAATTGGGAGGACGTGTGGTAGGAGAATTTCGTTGATGTATCGTTGAACGGTAAGATTGCCCTGGACATGGACCAAACCTGTCCTGCCATGATGAGAGAGAGCCGCCCACATCATAACGCTACACCCAACAAACCTGTCCACTTCCTGTACGCAGTTTCCGGCGTAACGTTCTCCCCGACGTCTGTAGAGCCGTGCTCTTCCACCCCCTCGACGGAGAAATCTCTCCATCGCAGCTGAGGCAATACCCTGTGTTGACGACACCAATGCAGTCGTTGTTGACAGTGTTGTCGACTCAATATAACGCGTCGAACAGGACGTCTTGCTGGAAGACCTTCTGCTCTTAAACGGTTTCGTATGGTCCGGTCGGAGATTCTGCGCAGTCCGGGTATTTGGTATGCGGTTGAGATGGCTGTGGTCGTCCTTTCACGTAGGTGGCGCAGTCGGATGTAGCAATCGTGGGCGGGGCTGGTTACTCTTGGTCGTCCCGACCTTGGCCGATCACGTGTTGACTCATGCTGTTGAAACCACCTAGCCTTGAAAACCCTGGCTACAGCTGATCGGGATTCCCATGCCCGCAAGCGGCCACTGACGTTGTTTCTTTGCACTTCTGTTAATCTTGGCATGTTGTTGAACTGTCACTGTTCGGTTGACGCAGATGCCAGGCAATCCAAAACCCTGCACTTTAATACCATTCATAGTGCTGCTGCACGTGCAGTA